AGGCCAGTCCATGCGCCCAAGCCATGTTGTCGCTCATGTCCCTGACAGGAGTTAATGTGATGCATGAGGCCATCGAGATGTAATGGGAGAGAGTGAGGAGCGGAGGAAGGCAGGCAGATGTAAAGATGGCAACAGCCCCCCGATACCCGATACCCGACGGGTATTTAATCCATTAGGGGGACGGGGATGAGATCATATCTTTACCCGCGGTCATCTAAATGGGTAAGAATCCATCCCCGACGGGTATAGCGGGTACGGGAACGTTCCCTGTTTACCCGTCCCCGTTACCCGTTGGGGAACCCGACTATTTGAGCTGTCATGCGAGTATTAGGCCCAAAGAAGCTCAACATAGGTATTTTGGCCCAAATCTGAACAATCATATATATAGTTTGTGTGTTCTAGGAACCCTAGTTTAATTTTTCCTCACTATCTCCGCCAGCAGCACAAGCACGCCTGCCTCACGAGCGCCCGTGCCCCTCGCTTCCTCAGTTCGGTCTCTCTGCCACCATTGCTCGTCCTCCTCGCAACCTCGCTCCTTCTCCTCGACATCTCCGAGACTCCGACACTTATACCCGGATGAAGAAGAAACGTCTCCGATTGCAAAGCTGCGACCCCAAGTGTCCTTGTTTATCGGGTATGCAGTACCCGTCGGGTATCTGTTACCCGATCGATGCCCGACGGGTACGGGGATGGGCAAGAATCTATACCCGAGACAGTTAACGGGGACGGGGACGGGATGAATTCTCCGTAGCGGGGAAGAGAACGTTCCGGCGATACCCGACGGGTACATCCCCGTTGCCATCCTTAGGCAGATGCACCAACACTGCTCGGTCAGCTAGTTTTTGTGACGAGCAGGGCAACCGAGGCAACGCGGCCGCCCAGTCTGCCGGTCATCAGCGTGTCCGAGCTCGACGTCGGCGCTATGTATTCTGGCATCGAGGGGCCACGTGAACATCACCTAGGATGCCCTGCTGTGCATGGCAGGCACCTCGGAGCCAAGATCTGTGGCGCTGAGACGTGTTACCTTGGCGTCATGCAGCCTGTTCGTTTTGTCGTAAACGATCGTGGATTATTTACTACTGGCTGGTTTGGTGTGAGAGAAAAATATTGTTCCAGCTTATAATCCACGATCGTATACGAGCAAGTGAACAGGCTGATGAGTCCTGACGCCGACTCTCAGGGTTCAAAGATGAGTTTAAGTCTTCCAGGAGGCCAAACGTAATTTAAAAAAAAAATCAAATTGTAAAAAATTAGGGTGCATTGCTTCCTCTGATACAGAAGAATAAACCATCTGATTCTCTCGACTCATCTATTATATACTAATCCAGTTAAGTATGTATATGCATTTAGATAAAATTTTAGGGTCCCTAATTTTTTGTGACAGGTGTCATCGCACCCCACTTGTGCTCACATTGTACGGGCCAGAATGATTGATTAATTGCAATTGGCTACTAAAACATGTGGTGGCTCTCATTGTACCATTTGTGCTCTTTTTTGTTTATATAATTTGTGAAATGAAACAAAACATGGGTGCGATAGTGATAGAAGATAGCCCCTATTATTTACAGAGGTGGTACAAAAGTGTTTAGTGAATTCCAGAGGCCATCGGATATCTGGAAACTGATAAGGGTAGCGATGATTCAAAGTTAATCATGCAACAGTTCCAATGTATGGTCTTTTCTTAATCCGTAACCAGCAGATTGGTCAAGCACATTTCCTTTCCAAATCTCCACTACCCAATTTACACCACCAGCGTCTCCCCTTCAACATTTCATAGCTCATCCCATCGCGCTGGCTTGTCACGCTCTGCCTTGCTAATCATGCTTCTAAATTTGAGTTGAAAGTCCAATGAAAATATTAAAGTAGATCAGTAACGTCAGACAAGGAGAAATGCAGTTGAGAATTCTGATGCACCGACTTCATCATATGAATTCTGGATGCCCCGTACTGTCTTTTAGGCGCATTTCGTTTCATTGGGACAAGATTTAACCAATACTTACTCCACTAGCATTTCGTCTATATAATGTGAAACTATAGCCATAAGTCCTTTTGAATACAAATCTAAAAACATTGACTGTGTCAAAATACATTATACATTAACAGAGTAATTGTTGGTCGCCTCCTAACACCCATGCTCATACAAATTATATGACGTTAGAACAGCCAGATATATATTGACTTAAACGTCATCACATTTTTCTGACCTAAGTCCTCGCGTCATATAATAATAACCGGAGGGTGTAGGCCTTGTACACCAAAAAATACCTTCGCTGGACATAAGAAGAAAACAATTTTGCTAATCTGGTGGACAAGATTGCATTAACAAGCATAGCATGCTTGCTAATCTGGTGAACAAGAAGATTGCATTAACAAGCATAGCCTGCATTTGTCGATCTGTACTCTCCATTCAAAAATTTCAAGCACCAAATACATAAACTTCACTATACGCTGAATTATGTTTCAGTCTTTATTACCATGGATATAGGTCCATCCCATTTTTTCTTCTTCATGTTCTTTATTGAGAAGGTCTTCTATATTCTCAGTTCTATTAGCAAGATGGTTGATTAACCATTATTGCAAACCAGAGACAATGTTTAACCCACTGAAATTTGACAGATGCAATGTTCTTAAGGCAACAAGGTGAGGTGTGGTACTCTTGTTGCCTAGGCAACTAGGTGACACGCAGCTTGTGCAATCCATACACCCTTAAGAACCTTTGGCAGGTGGGAACCATATACATAAGAAATGCCTAAATGTATTCAAAGAAGTATTACCTTATTGCAAAATGATTTTGCAAACTAGTAGTCTTAACACTATCGGATCTCATCTGTGGTCACCTTGAACCTAATAATAATTTATGGCCCCCCACTATCCCAAGTTCTCGACAGCGCAACTGGCATTGTTCTTTTCACACGAAAACCATGATCTTGTTATAAGAATAAGAAAGAAAGACTTACCTATTACACTGTTAATACAGCTCTGGAAATTCAGAAACCATAATGGTACTGAGTTAGAAAAGTAAACCAAACAGCCATCTGACCTCCTAGACAAATGCAATTTGAAGATGGTATTGACATTGCTTTTCAACAAGAAACATGAGGTACAATCAGGATGGTCAAACAAAATGAGGCGTTGCGTCAACTAATCGACAAATTATCTAAACTGGCATAATCACAAACTTGGATATTTGCATTTTGCACGGAAAGTAGGTACTCCAACAAGCAGGAATAATCTATCATGGTACTGACAAATTTTAACTCTCAGAAACCTTAAAAACCACACATCTAAAATTTTGAATATAAGTTATTTAAAAAACAAAGATTTTGAATATGAAGCCCACAAGTATTTTAGAGTTCACCTCTTAGCTTAAACTGTGAAGGGTGATACATGTCATTGTGCAACATCCATCACACCACCCTAGAAACTTATAATATTCAATTCACAAAAATAATTTAATTATTAGAAGACATTAGCAACCTACTAAAAATGAATGCCGAAACCAACATTGATCCTGGAGGACTCACAGGCTCTGTTGTGACTCAAAAATCAGGATATGGCACCTAGTACGCACAATCAGTTAAGGATAACAAATTCTGCGGTAGAAATGTGCAAGAACTAATGGAATTAAAGACATAACAGCCATGACCAGAAACATTTACTCGCTCCAATTCCTTGAGATAATGACGGTTATCAATGTCTGAAGTTCGTCAACCATGATATGGATAGAAGCAGATAAGAACCTGACTGGTGGTACCTAAGGAGTGCCGCACGATAGCGAGATGCCCATTACATGAGGGTTGAGGAGAGTTTGAGGCACTCGCTCTGGCACCTCTTGAGGCAGACGTCGTTCCAGTTGGGCACCTGGTGCTGGTTGACGCAGACGGTGCGCGCGCAGGCGTCGGCGCAGGCGTCGAGTTCAGAGACGCCGCAGACGGTGACGCAGGTCTCCGGTATGGGGTCCTTGGAGAAGGCCCCCACCTTCTTGAGCATGCGCTTGGAGGTGCACACGCGCTCGCAGACGAAGACCTCGTCGGAGCTCTTCTCCCGCCCGCGCGCCGCCTTGAGGCGCTGCTCCTCGTCGCGGCGGCGCTTGATGCGGACAAACTGACCCGCCACCAGCGCCGGGATCGCCGCGCCCAGCAGAGGCCACCACGCGTCCACCATCGCTTCGCAAGTCTGCGGGGAAATCGGGGCTCACGATCAGATTTGGTCGAATCCCAGGAGCCACAGAGGAAATCGTGAGGCGAGAAGGGGAAGAAAGAGGTGGGGAGTTTGGGGTGGCACCTTGGGATGAACTGATTGCTTGCCGACGCGTGGACGAGAGGCGAGGAGCCAGCCGGAGGAGGGCGGCGAGGGTTTTAGGCGAGGACGAGGTGGGCAGGGGTGGGGCGCTGCTTCTGCTTCAATCTGTTCTGCGGGGGGCAGGAGAAAGGATGATGGTGGCTGGAGACGGCCGTCGGGCTGTAAATGGGCCGAAAGCTTGTTTGCGTCTTCATACTGTTTGCATTGCCCACTAAAGTTTTAGAGTGCGAATTCTGAATCAAACATTTTCTTTAACTTTGGCCATCAACCTCTAAAAAACCTCCCTCAAAAGGAAATCCCACTAAAAATTTTATACACTCTCATTTTATGAAATTCACTTGTACAGTATAATATAAGATTCCCTTTGTAATAAGCTATTGCTGAAAACTGTTGAGATGATACATGCATCGAGGCATAATAAGTTTCATCTTACACGGGGTGAAGGGGACAACTCTCATGTCAACTAAAAGGTCAAGACAGCAATTTACAGCCTAACTGCTATGTGCAATTTATTACTCCGTACTATACACAGTTCGGTGCGAGCTTCATAAAACACAGCACGCCCAAATCACTTTGTCAGATCAACCCGTTAGCGAGAGAAAAATCTCTGGAGGAAAAGGGAAAATGAAGCCTCCATATTGGTGAAAACTTCGCGACACCATTAACATCCAACTGCATGGTGCCCTCTGAAACAAGACCTAAGGTTCTTCTCTTTTCAGACGCAATTTAAAGTTCTTCTCCAAAAATGCCAAGGTTTCCACATAAGAAGGATCGTTCTTGTTAACTGGCTTACATGAATTTATATGATCAGTGGACGGTAGAACCTGCAGAGAAATAAAAAGAACATAACGGTAATCACTTGAAATTTGCAAAAATTAGAACCAATGAAATTATGGAAGCATACAAGGAACAAAAATGGTGGAAAAATTGTGGGAAGCGTCCATATGGCTTAGTAGCCTATGTAATCTAAAAAAAAATCGAAGAAGCCTTGATTCTTCCAGTGCTATCCCAAAACTAGTTTTGACTATCAACATAAGTTAACATTGACATAATCAGGATTAATATTGAACTGCATCACATGTGATGATATGTTAAGGCCCTTACGATAATAAGAATTCCATCATTTGCAAAACAACAACAATAATTACATGTGCAATGAATTGTGAAATATACTTACGACAAGCTCCTCAAAGCCTGGGTATGCAGATTCAATTGGCACTATCTCCATACGAAGTGCCCAACCACCATATCCTTCAACAATCGGTGTGACCTGGGTCTGTCATGGAACCAATTATTAACATATATAACTTAGTATTATGGAAGTGGAACTTGGCAGTATGAATGTTACTACCTCACTAAAACTAAGAACATCAAGAAATCCTTTGTTGTGGCGTTGACGCACAAAATCGTTCAGTTCAACTAGTCTTGGAGATCCACTTCTTAACTCCCCAATCTATTGAAATTAAATGTCAGAACATATAGAGAAGACGAAAACTATCAATTTGTAAGCAAGCTTATCAAATGAGGAATGGAAGACCATACCGAAGGAGCAGGACCAAACACTAAACCCATACGCGATGGCATGTCTGCAAGTTTACTGCCAAAATGCGGACAACTATAGAAAACCTGTGATGCAGAAATAGTTAGATCGTATTCACAGGCACACAGATAATCACAAAATTCAACACACAAAAATACATACCAGCCCAATAGTATTATTCAGGAACTTGTCATAGTTATTCAGCTTTGCTTGATATAAAAGCTGTTTAACCACCAGTCCTCCCATGCTGCAAGTATGAAAATGAGGAGAAAGCAAGTCATAAGTTATTTCAGTAACTAGCAGTTATATAAGTGAGGAGCTAGCACAACAAATATAGCAACACGCCATAACAATTGCATGGCCAAGTAGCATCATAGACCAAACAACAATCCTTACCTGTGTGTCACAAAAATAACAGGCCGACTACCAATCCCAGCAGCCACCAACTTCCTCAGCAGCATAGAGCTCACCTCCTATAAAACAAATAGGATCTTGAGTGAGAAAACCAACAAATAATCAGTAACATGAAAAGAGCTACCAACATATATACCATTGGACAGAAAATCTTGAAATCTAGAATTATGTTGGGAAATCACTGCAGTTGCACAACGAAAATTTCCAGCAATAACAAAAAAAGGGTCCACATATGCCACTACAAAGTTCAAAATAGTTGGGGTGTAACTTGTAATGTTGACAAGCTGGGTCCAGGTCCACATATAAAGGGTATATAAGGGCACACAAAAACCCAAGGTTCTTTAGCTGGCCCAGGAGAGAATGCCGAGAAGGAGGCGACCATGCACACAGCATAAAAAGCTAAAGAAATCTCAGAAGTTACCTGAAGAGGCAAGCTGGCTCCAGTCCATTGAGTCAAATTTGTCTGCGTAAGTTATTCGAAATTGGTAAGGACGTTGAAAAGTTTAGAACCAACAAAGTCGGTATCAACAGAAATATTCAAATGTACCAGAACAACTCAAATATAGAAAGGGATCAATACAGATATCTAATTGTGAGAAGAATAGCAGGTGAAGGGAATAGATGAGACATCAAAAACAAACCTTGTATTTGACTGTAAAAAAACGTGCTTGAGGAAAATCTGCCGCAAGCCATTCACTTGGCCAGCATGTGCCCTCTTTCCCAGCATCCTCGTCAATGCTTTCCACCAAACCAGCTTTGGTAGTTGATGATTTGTCATCAGCAATTCGCCATGAGTTGAATGGGCCACCACGAAGGCCATGGACAAACACAACATCCATCAAAGGGACACTTTTGGATGCAGCTTCGGCATCATCTACAGAGTTCGCAGTTTCAGAGCCAGGATCTTCAATACTTCCATCTTCCTTACAATTATCTCTTGAAACTCTTAAAATCCCAAAACCACTGTTGTCCACATGAACTTCAAGAGGTAACTCTGGATTTAGCAAGAATAGTGCATCTCCAAACTGAGGACAGTTTCTTTTATATTCACTTTCTGAATCAGGATATTCATCAGAGGGTTTTCTTGCATTTGGACTCTCGGAACAGAATATGTTCAATAATGTTAACCTGCAGTAGCTTTTTAGTTTTAAATCATTGCAAGAAATTCGCCCACTAGCACAATCCTCGAGCCATTTGCACCATACATCATCAGAAATAATTTCCTTCTTTGAATTGGGTAGAAGAGAGAGAATGGTAAGCAGCCGTCCAGCATGCCTTCGGATATGTGCTGCAGGAGGAACCCGTACACTTGAGGGATCAGTGGTAGCATCAGTTGATGAAACATTAGAAGCCACATTCTTGTCTTGCACTTCTCGAATACGAGATGCATCATATGCTTCAATTGCAGCAAGTTTCTCATAATCATCACTCAGGAGGATGTGCCTCAACAAGGGAAGAGCTCCTAGATCAGCTTTTCTCTTTTGGCATGCACCATCCTCGGAACAAAGCTCAGCTAGAGCTTTTATTCCCTTGAGCATTGCTGATGCTGAGTCAGCAGCATCAAACTTGGGTGGATTATTTTTGTTCATATTCTTTAGAGCTGTAGCAGGTGTCTTTGGTGTCCCAGCATAGCAGGTCCCAAGCCCTGGTAAAGGAGGAGGGTTGTGTTAGGCATGACGAGCCAATGTAAAAACTTAGCCACTTTAATGGAGATGAAACCCGAAAGAAAATCGTTGGGGCGTAACCCTCTTAGCGACGCGCCATATCGGAACCCGGGTATGGTGTTAAATGGGCAAGGGCCGGGTCGTCACCCCCGTGACGCGCCGTGTCGTGATCTGGGCATGGTGTCAAGTGAGCAAGGATCGGGTCGTCGCTTCCTTAGTGGCGCGCTACATCGGCGCCCGGGTGTAGTGAAAAATGAGCAAGGGTCTTCGCATCTGAATCGATGGGTGCGAAGAGTAAGAAAGCTAGTCGAACCAACTAGGATCCGTTTAGGTAGTTGGAATGTAGGGTCACTTACAGGTAAGTTAAGAGAATTAGTTGATACCGCGACTAGGAGGCGTGTAAATATATTATGCGTTCAAGAGACTAAATGGAAGGGTCAGAAGGCGAAGGAGGTGGATAATACATGTTTCAAGCTTTGGTACACAGGGACAGTCGCGAATAGAAATGGAGTAGGAGTTTTGATTGATAAGAGCCTCAAGAATGGTGTGGTGGGAGTAAGAAGGCAAGGAGATAGGATTATCTTAGTCAAGCTTGTCGTTGGTGATATGGTCTTGAACGTAATTAGTGCGTATGCCCCCAAGTAAGCCTCGACGAGAGTGCTAAGAGACAGCCTCTGGAAGACTTAGATGGCTCAGTTAGAGCTATACCTAGTAGTGAGAAGTTTTTATAGGAGATCTTAATGGGCATGTAGGTACTACAAGCGCTTGTGTTTCGAGGCGCTTCATGGAGGTTTTGGGTATGGTAGTAGGAATCGGGAGGGGAGGAAGTTCTAGACTTCATGGTAGCTTTTGACTGATGATAGCCAACACTTTCTTTAGAAAGAGAGAATCTCATCTAGTGACCTTCAAGAGCGGACAACATCAGAGCTGATTGACTTTGTCCTCGCAAGAAGAAAGGACAAACAAGCATGCTTGGATTGCAAGGTGATACTGGGGAGTGTGTTGTTTCTCAACATAAGCTTTTGGTGGCGATTTTCGTTTTTCAAAGGTGCTGTAGGGATAAACAAGCTAAGATTCAAAGAACAAAGTGGTGGAAACCGAAAGGGGAGACGCCGAGGTATTCAGGAAAGGGTTATCAAAGAGGGCTCTTGGAAGGAAGAAGACGACATAAACAACATGTGGGAGAAGATGACAACCAACATTCGAAGGTGGCCTCGTGAGGTGTGTGGAATAACCAAAGGAAGTGGAGGCGAGGCTAAAGATACTTGGTGGTGGAACGAGGAAGTCCAAAGGGCTATTAAGGAGAAGAAAGAATGCTATAGACGCTTGTACCATGATAGGAGTGTGGACAACATAGAGAAGTACAAGGTGGCAAAAAATACTGCAAAGCGAGCTGTAAGTGTGGCAAAGGGTAGAGCGTACGGGGATCTTTACCAACATTTGAGTACGAAGGAAGGAGAGAAGGACATTTATAGGATAGCTAGGGTTCGTGAGAGAAAGACACGGGACTTCAACCAAGTTAAGTGCATTAAGGATGAAAGGGAGCATCTTTTGGTGAATGTAACAGAACCGACCAATTATACGAAATTAAGTAAGAAAATCATCCACCAGAGCAGACGATTGAGCAAACTTAAGTCCATATAACCCGGTAGTCCGTGAAATCACGAAGGATTTCAAACCAACTCGTGTCCCAGCCATGATCGTAATAAGTTTAGCGGTCACCAATCACATATTACATAAAAGTTTCCATAATGATACATCGAGTTTAAACATAGTTATTACAAAACAAGTTCGAATAAAAGTAGCGGAAGTCATTTGTTTAAAACCACACACACACTCACGCGCGAGTTTAAATATAGTGCCAAATGAATGATCATTACCAACAAAAGCATTAGATGAGACGTAAGGAATGACCATGCCCATGGTCCTAAGCATCACCCATCGCAGGATAGAGGCAGCTTGATACAATAGCCGTAATACATCGCCCATCTCGCAACAAGTGGGAATAAAACCCGAGTACGAGAAGGTACTCACCAGGACTTACCCGACATAACCGAAAATAAATGACACCAAGGATTATGCGGGCATAATAGTAGGGTAGTCGACTCATTTGCAAAAGAAGCATTTTAGCATTTCAAGAACCTTTCTAAAAGCATTATTGTCAAGTTAATTATTATTAACACAATCAAACTAGATTGCACCTATACTAGAGTAAACATGTGATTAAGCAATTAATGATAACCACCGATCATTAAACAACTTCCATATTTGTCATATATTCACTATAACTGTCCAAGTGTTCCATAAACATTTACTACGATGAAGTCACTCAAGTCAAGTGCTCACTATCCAGAGCGATGGCGATTCAATCGATTCCTAACCAACGTGGTGATTTATTCCTTACACAAATCTCACTCACCCGCTAAAGTGAGATATTGATCACCGAGTCAACTTTCCGTATATCTCGAGTTTGCCAGAACCACATGTACCGGGGCCGACCGATCGCACTTTTTGGTCTTATCATCCCGCCCGTGTCCTACCACACTGTTTTTGACAAGGCTGCTGGGCAATCTACTCGGCCCGAAAAATCTCCCAACTTTCGGTCGGAAGGTACTTTATCCGCCCGGACTAAATGTAAGGCATGCGTTCAACATGACTCGAGGCCCAACAACGGTCGGTCTTAATCTATTACATGCACGGAAACACTACGGTCCAAAACCCCGCAAGTCTCCGCCTTTCGGTCTCAACTTCATTCAACACTTAGTTATACCATGACTTCATAGCCATCCAAACAGATCCGGTAACCACCTATAGCTCGCAGTGACGTGAAATCACCCGACTTCTACCGGTCTAAGCCGACTAAGCATTGACTTGATCGGGATACCGTGGTAACAAGGATATAGTATAACAAAGGTAAACAAGGTATAATCAAAGAACGGTTGCAAAACAACTCCCTGACGTAATGCATCAATTTTACGTAAAGTATTTAACGAAATCATTGCAAACCGGGAGAAAGATGCTCCGGCTTGCCTCTCTCGAAGAGGAGCTGGACGGTGATCGGGGCACTCCGGAGGAAGTTCCTCAACGTCCTCCTCGTCGGCTCATGTCACTTCTCGCTGGTTTGCACTCGAAGCTTCCTCGGGCTCCTCGAGAATGATTTGGTTCTCGGTTTGCGATCCCAGTATGATGCAATGCGTGTAAGTGCCTATGCAATCGGTGCATCGAGGAGATGAATGCAATGGATATGTTGAAAGGCAAGGTAGTCAACATCATCCAAGAAACTATGCTATAAGCACATGTCATCTATCGCATTCTCTTCTACTACCAATATGTTAAGTCAACATATTTTATTAAATGCTTCAAAGATACACCAAAGCTTTACTAATTTCTTAATCACACTTAAGGCAACACTTGCTTAAACCCTAATTAATAATAGGTTTGAATAGCAACCTATATTTCGATGCTCCTAAAAATCAGAGAAAATTACAAAGAGTATAATACTACCCTAAATGCACTACCATAAAAATTTCATGGCATTTGGATAAGTAAACTATCCTACACAAAATGACAAGCTATAGCCTAAAAATGAGCAGCATGAAATTACTTTGTACTATGAAAAAGTGTCAAACAATGTAATTAATATTTTTCCTAGGAAGTACATGACATAAGAAGATGAACAAACTTGAAATCATATTTTACGAAGCCTATATATTTTATATACATTTTTCAAGTTATCAAGAATATTCAAGATTAAATAAAATCCTATAGAAAAGTATCTCAAAAATGACATGCACAATTTTTCCCAAGTAGATCTCGATGATAAGGAACCTAGCAAAATTTGTTTCAACAAATTTGGAGCAAATTTGAGTACCCAAACATTTTTCAAACCATTTCAAATAAAGAATAAATTGAAATCATTTATTCAAACGCCATCGGCCACCACTTGAAAATCAATCATACCAAACTGCTGCCTGTATTAGCGATGAGAGGCAAGGCTGGCAAATAGGGGCTTCCACCACTGCTGCTTTGCTTGGTATACCGGTCGGTCAAGCAGAGGATATGGCTGACAATGTGACTTCCATTTGCCAGCCGCCATCTCCATCTCCCGGCCACTTGAGGCGAAGAAGGAAGCGACGACGAGGTTCATGAGGCATTGGCGAATCGATCAGCAACCAAGGTGCGGTGGAGGGAGGAAGAAGGAGTCCCACGGCGGCCGAAAACCTGCCCAGCGCCATGGCCGCTTGCAGTGGCGGCGCGCGGCTGCTCACCTCACCTCGGCTAAGGCGGAGTAAGCTCGAGCGCCGACCTCAAGGAAGGCGAGGCGGAGGTTGCGCGCGCGCAATCGGAGAATGGCGCGCGGTGCGGGAGCTCGACGTCAAGAGCTCGAGCGCCTGAGGCGGAGCTCGGGCTCATGGCTCTGGCGCGGAGGAAAAAGCAGTCTTGGGAGGAGTGACGGCAGAGCGCACCGGCAATGGCGCTGCTCTCTTCAAGCCCGCCAGCCAAACTGTGAGGTCGAAGAAGTAAATCGACACGCTGGCGGCCGCCGCCGACGCGTCAGACGTGGCGACGACGACTGGTATGTGTGGGGAGAAAGAAGGCGCAGTGTGGAGGCAGTGTGCCGGGCGCTGGCATGGGTCGGGCCGAGGCGAGGCGCTGGGGGCTTTGTTGGCCGAAGCGAGGCGGCGGCCCTGCCAAAAAAGTAAAAAACTCTTTTTCATTTATATTTTCAAGAACTTTTTAAAAGCCGACTTTTCAAATCTTATTTTGAGTAAGAAGATGACCTCTTTTGAAAATGTACCAAAAATGAAAGTTGCTTAGAATTTAATTCTCTACAACTTTGCTTTTTGGACCAAAGCCAAATTCTTTCTAGATTTTGAATTATAAGATCAAAGTCTACGTTTAGCTCAAAACCCTAATTTTTGGAATTTATTTTTGAAGCCAAATTTTGAATTAATTTGAATACCAACATTGCTCCAAAAATCGAACTAAACATTGCTAGATGATTTACAATAGCGATGAAACATGTTCTACTAACCTAGCAAGCAAGAATCGAGAGCAAAACAACTCTAATAAGTGTATGCATCATTTACGTTTCACAAACATGTTTCGTATGTTTCGAAGTAATGTTTCAGTTATTATATGCAAGATTATGCATGTATGATTAGGATGCTTGATGATGCATGATATGCAGTGCCTAAATGCAGGCATAACACCGGGGTGTTACAGTGAAGGAGGATGAGATCCGACATCGATGGCAAGAGTATTTTGATAAATTGTTCAATGGTGAGAATATGGACACAACCTTTCAGTTGGATGACTCTTTTGATGACACCAATAGGCGCTTTGTGCGGAGAATCCAAGAATCTGAGGTCAGAGAGGCGTTGAAAAGGATGAAAGGAGGTAAGGCGATGGGACCAGATGGTATCCCAATCGAGGTGTGGAGATGCCTCGGGGACATAGCTATAGTATGGCTAACCAAGCTGTTCAACCATATTTTTCGATCGAACAAGATGTCTGATGAGTGGAGAAGAAGTATATTGGTACCGATCTACAAGAATAAAGGGGATATTCAAAGTTGTACTAATTATCGGAGAATTAAGTTGATGAGCCATACTATGAAGCTATGGGAGAGAGTTATCGAGCATCGTTTGAGGGCAATAACGCGGGTCTCTGTGAACCAATTTGGTTTCATGCCCGGAAGGTCAACCATGGAAGCTATTTTCTTAATAAGACAAGTTATGGAGCGGTATAGGGAGAAGAAGGACATACACATGGTTTTTATCGACTTGGAGAAGGCTTATGATAAAATACCAAGGAATGTTATGTGGTGGGCTTTGGACAAACATAAAGTCCCAACGAAGTACGTCGGGCTCATTAAGGACATGTACAACAATGTTGTGACTAGAGTTCGAACAAGTGATGGAGACACGGATGACTTCCCGATTAGGATAGGACTACATCAAGGGTCAGCTTTGAGCTCTTATTTGTTTGCTTTAGTGATGGATGAGGTCACAAGGGACATACAAGGGGACATACCTTGGTGTATGCTTTTCGCGGACGATGTAGTGCAAGTTGATGAAAGCCGGACAAGAGTGAATCAGAAACTGGAGTTATGACGGGAGACTTTGGAGTCCAAAGGTTTTAGACTCAGCAGAACTAAAACTGAGTATATGAGATATGACTTCGGCACTACTACTCGGAAGGAGGAAGATGTTAGTTTGGAAGGTCAAGTAGTGCCTAGGAAGGATACCTTTCGATATTTAGGATCAATGCTACAAAGGGACGGGGACATTGATGAAGATGTTAGCCATAGAATCAAAGCAGGGTGGATGAAGTGGCGGCAAACATCTGGTGTCCTATGTGACAAAAGGGTACCACATAAGCTAAAAGGCAAGTTTTATAGGACGGCGATTAGACCTGCTATGTTGTATGGTGCAGAATGTTGGCCTACGAAAAGACGACATGTTCAACAGCTAAGTGTCGCGAAAATGCGTATGTTGCGTTGGATTTGCGGTCATACAAGAAGGGATCGAGTTCGGAACGGTGATATACGTGAAAGATTAGGGGTAGCGCCAATTGAAGAAAAGCTTGTCCAACACCGGTTGAGATGGTTTGGACATGTGCAACGGAGACCCCTAGAGGCACCGGTGCGTAGTGGAATCCTAAGCCAGGATAGTAACGTGAAGAGAGGCAGAGGAAGACCGAAGTTGACTTGGGTAGAGGCAATAAAAGGAGACTTGAAAGGATGGAATATACCCAAAGACTTAGCCTTAGATAGGAGTGCTTGGAAGACAGCTATTCACGTGCCTGAACCTTGATTGCTTCTGATGGGTTTCAACTCTAGCCTACCCCAACTTGTTTGGGACTTAAAGGCTTTGTTGTTGTCGTCGTCGTCGTCTTTAGAGCTGTAGCAAATGGCTCAAGAGATAGAAAATCAGAAAGTGTCCCGTTATCTTTGTCAACAGACCCGGGCTCATAATTCGATTGGGCGCTTGCTAATTTAACAACAGCGCTACCTAAATGATTCAAGACCTGAGTTGCAGTGCAAGCATTATGGTAATCAACTGGATTATGTCAGTAACACAAGTTGTATTAGGATGGTAGGATGAGAATAAGAATGTGAACAAAAAAGGAAGATATACACCAGTATAAAGTCATTAGGATTATCAGGTAACACGATAAATTCTACAATGCAGATCAAGTTTATAATGTAGCATGGTAATATTAGATCAAAAAACATGACAGCAGGCACATGCCTACATGTATTGACAATAAATGATGGTACAATTAAATGATAACTTTGTTACAAAACCAACATTCTAATCAAAAAAGGGATTCTGGTTTCCTGTCAAAGACTGAATGTTTTAAAGAACATGCCTATGTCCACAATGAGACAACTAAAAAGGGCGTACCCAGTGCAGAGAGCTCCCGCTCTGTGCGGGGTCTAGGGAAGGGTGTTAGTGGCAAGCCTTACCCTCGCTTGTGCAATGCGAGGAGACCGCGACTCGAACCCGGGACCTTCCGGTCACAGACGGTAAGACTCTACCGCTTGCACCAGGCCCGCCCTTCTCCACAATGAGACAACTCTAACAATCTATTATAATTATATAAAGAGCTACGACTGTTACGTTTTTATAATGTGTACTAACAAACTACCAGTAAAAACATCATCAAAGGTATTGCAAACTGTGATGATGTCTAAGGCAATATCGATAGATTGAAACAGTACTTTTGTCAGAGCTAGAACCTATCCATTTTAATGCTGTGACTGTATGTATACATGGCGTCTACGTTAAGAAATCTGTGTAGCTTCTTTTTATAAAATAAAGTGTGCCTGAGAAGATTGATATATATTCAATAAAATAATTAAGCTTAAGAAATGACTGATCAGCAACAAAAATGTTCATACAGCTTTTACCTTGTAGAAACCAAACAGAATAAAAAACCTGTTTATGCTATTTTCTGTATTTTGCAACTAATTGACATACAGGAAAAACATATCAACACTCCCCTACTGAAGCCAGATCATTTTAGCACATGAAAGAAGTATAAGATCCACATTGCAACATTAGACTCCTTCCTACTAGATTAATCATCTTAAGCAAAGGACATGTAAATATGCTGCCCACAGATCACGCTAATTCTCTTGTTGTAATTTGCCTCACATCATGTCAACTATTGTGTTTGCCTTTGCCTTTCATAAGTGATAAGTTTGTAATTTTCATACATGAAAAAGCATCTCCAAGTGTTAAGTTTAAGGGCCCTAAGACGAAGCCAACAATGACAAATTTGCAGAGACAATTTGCAGGTTCAGAACTGGAACCACATTCGGCTACATTCAGTAGAAATAACTCAAGCAACCAGGCAGAGATTCAATACCAATTGAAGCAAGAATGAGCTCAAACTCATTTCCACTTGTTATAAGCTAGGCAGTAGACAATGAGCTATTATATTCACACAAGACCTCACCATTTGAATCCTACGACACAGCTGACAAATACCCTATGTCCTTGCTACAAACCGGGCAACACCAAATCAATATGCCTAGCTAGAAAATATAAATATCAATTGATGCTACAGGGCATATGAAAAGTATGAAGAAGTATTGCAGCTTAGTATAATATATTGATTCGTGGAGTGGTTACAGCAACAATCACAAATTGGATACAACTACAGCACATAATCACCAATTCCAAGCTTCTACGACCAACCTACATTATGGCAATCAATCAGATAAAGCAAGGCAAGCAGAAAATAGAAGTCCAAAAGTAAGATCAGCCATTACCTTCTTGCCGCACGTGGGCTGGTACGAGAAGATGAACTGGAGAAGGCATGGCACGGCGTGCAGGCGGCCGAGAACGGCGGACGCGACCCATGGGTCCGCCACCAGGTGCGCGAGCGCCCTGGCAGCCTCGGCCTGCGTGGCCCCCCGCACGACGCTCTCGAGCAGCCAGTCGAGGACGGCGCCGCCGCCCGAAGAGACGATGGCCGCGCGGCGCGCGGCGCTGGCGGCCGTGATGTCGGCGAGCAGCGCGGCGACCCGCAGCTCGAACCCAGAGCGCACCTCATGGTTGGCGGACGAGAGCACGGACAGGAGCGACTTCCAGAGCACCCGCGCGGCCGTCCACGTGTGCCGCATCCGCTCCACGACGCGGCCCGCGGAGTCCCTGGACCGCTGCAGCGTCTCCTCGAGGTTGTCGGTGGTGAGGTAGACCGCACCCGCGGCGGCGAGGGAGAGCATGGAGAAGGCGAGGAGCGGGGCGAGGCGGCGCGCGCCCCCGCGGTGCGGCGCGAGGTGGTGCGGCGGCGCGGGCGTGGCGACGATCGGGAGGGAGGAGGCCGAGGTGGGCAGAGGGTGCGGGCGACGCGTGTGGGGTGGGTGTGGGGTTGGTGGAGAGCAGGCAGAGCCGGTGGCGGTGGTGGTGGAAACGGCGGAGGAGGAGGACGCGTCGCAGCATTGCCGGCGCGGGGTGGCTTCTCCTCTTCGGTAGGGTGTGATTATCTGAGTTATTCGGGCGATGCGAGCGACGGGCAGGGGGGGTGCCCTGTTGCCGTGGAGAGGAAGGCGAGCGAGGGCACACGGCGCGGGGAATATTCGCCGGAGAAGGGGGAGAGACCGGGAGAGAGACTGCACGGAGGCGGTTTCCCGGTGCGGCAAAGGGAGGAGAGAGGAGACGATACACGCTACACGGGGAACGGGACGGAAGAGCGAAGCGGGTTTGGGCTTGGATGCTTGATGGGCTGCCAAAGTTTGGGCTGGCCTCGAACTCGAAGCTTCCGAACGCCTCTCTCAGCGTGCATATGCTGCTCTGTTCGAACGGAGTAGTACGCGACTGATCCCAAGCAACTGATGCGTCTATTTTGCAATGCTTGTGGCCCAGGCTAGGTACGCAAGCAAACACAAATGCGTTTGTGGCACGGTTGTTTATTTATTTAATTTAACATAATACTCCGTATAATAAAAAGTACTGTACTAAGTATTGTAGTCACTGATCAGGATCTGTTACTAACTTTCCACTGAAGTTTGGCTGTTCACCTGTGTTGGACCGTGGATATGTTAGCCGACACAACATCTGATCCTGATCAAGCTGGCCTCGCGTATACTCCATCAAGGCATCATCCCAGTCTGGCATCTACTCCTACATTATTGTCACCGATTGCCTAAGTTCGGCGGCGATTATATCCTACCCAAACGCTGGAATTCGACGGAGCAGCAGACAAGACAAGTCGAGGTTCCACTCGAGGGAGCCTGTCGAGTGTCAATCATTTCACATACATCTTGCAAACTCACGCATCAGTATCTGAATGTTAGTCATATATATGGCTTGATACTCTCCATTGCCTAAAGATCCAAACGGCATCGACCGTCCGACATGATTTGCGTTCTCTCTTCACTTCTTCAGACAGACATGCGACGAGTCTCGTGACAACCGAGAGCTTTTTGAGCTAAATTGGACGACGCCATCAAATTGATACTCCCTCCGTTCCAAATTATAAGTTGCTTTGACTTTTTTGGTATATCCATTTTGCTATGCATCTAGATATAATGATATGTATGTCTAGATATATAGAAAAATGGATGAACTAAAAAAGTCAAAGCGACTTATAATTTGGAACGGAGGAGTACTTTTTATGTTCAAACTTACGTTGGAAAATACTGGAATCGGATTGAACAAAGCACTTCAACAGTTCAGCAAATCAAATATTTCAGGTTTCATGGTTTTTCACACGTCCATTCTTTATCCGTTTGATGACGGCTCTGATTCTGATCTACGTATAGCACTACCAGTACACCCAACAAATCCAAAAGGGGAATTGCTGCCGCCCGAACATCCAATGACATGGATGCACAATTTTGTTGTTGCTATTAATGCTATATACGGTAAACATACATGGTCTGTTTCAACCATTTGGTAAACTTAGAATATATGGTACTAATCCTATTATTTGGGTACTGTTAAGTTGATATACCTGATTATACGATAGTAAGTATATTAGGAAGAATATTATGCAAGAAATGTCAAGTGAGGCAAAGGGTATGTAGCATGAATACCTTGGAGTAGAATTAACATCGCCGGGTTGATATGTCCTGAAAATTTTCATTGTAGACTACGTTTTGCACTTTTGCTTCAAGTCCAGGTGGGTTGTTCTCAATGAGCATATAACTGATTCAGTACTATCATTAGGAAGAAGATCAGCAGGTAATGATGTGGACTCGTAGCCAGTCATGAACACAAGGCCACGCCTAACTTTTCGGTGCGATGGAAGATGGAAGCCTGAAGGAAATAAGCTCTCCTGCTGAGAGTCACCCATGTGTATCTCTGATTGGAGTGGTCGCTCATTGATGGAAGCACCTTGCATAGTTAAGAAGAGTGCTATTTCAGCTTGGGGTGCATAAACAGATTAAGTAGAACAACAGGGAACTGAATGGTAAAAGAGGATCATTGCAAAAAAAAAAAAAACAAAACAGACTATGTAAGGCGGTAAACCATATGAGTCGAGCTGTGATGAACCTAGAATGTCCATTTGACCTTCTAAGCAAACCTATAAACTGTACATATTGCGACCATTGTAGATTGAAGCACAGGTACTTGTACCACTAATACATCATGTAAGCATATGATGAAGGAAATTGAAGAAGGATAGTGAAAATTACAATTTGTAGGAACAAAGCAAATTAGTGTCTTTACTGAATCATGTAGTGGAAATGGGTGTGGTGTACCTGCTGCCTTGTGGTGTTCAGACATGATGCTTTTACCATCCAAGAGGAGGACCTCACATCTTCCGTTTGTAAAATGTGTCTCAATCACCCACGAAATACACACTGCAGGTCACGGAATACACGCTGCAGGTCACGAAATACACGCTGCAGGTCAGGTAGCACAGAAGCAGCATCTTGTTGAACAGAGCATTACAAAACCTAGCAGGCTGCAGCGAAGTGCCACACCAAAGAGGCATATCATTGAACACCTATGATGCAGTAGCAGAACAGACATGGAATCTGAAATATACCTTGATTGGGGGTGTTTGCCTCCAGCGTTCGGCACCTCAACCGGGACTGTGCTGTCGTAGATGGATAAGATGGCGAGAGAAGAGAGGAGGCCTGTTGCCACCGTGGCCCCCGTCGCCGCTGCGGCGCGGACCAAGGGCGGGGCGGCGTGTCTGGCCGCACAGCTGGTGCCGGCGCCCGACACCTCGAGCGTGCATGAGGCGTCGGCGAGAGAAGGGAGGAGGCGCGCCGCGGCCGCGAGCTTGGCTGTGGTGTCAGCGAGGGAAGGGAGGAGGCGTGCGGCGGCGTGTCTGGCCGCACAGCTGATGCTGGCGCCCGACACCTCGGGCGTTCCTGTGGCGTCGGCGAGGGAAGGGAGACGGGTTGCGGCGACGGAGATCTCAGGAGGGATGGGGACGGAGGCAGCAATGTTTTGCCGAGGATGAGGTTCTGGTCTTCTGGAGGCGGAGGCTCTGCCATGCGGGCCGGCACCGCAGACCAGGAGGATGCGGATAGGATGCCGCGGGGGTGGCCGTACGCATGTGAACAGGGTAACAGTAGGAGCAGGCACGGCGCCGGTACAGGCGATGGGTAAGGGCGGCGCTAGGGGAGGAGGAGGCGGAGCGGCGGCGCGGCGGAGGGAGCAAGGTGCGGGTAGACGGAGATGGGGACGGGGATTGTATTCGAGGCTTTCATACGTGTGCCATAAAAAAAAAGTCTGTAATTATATATAAGTTATTAAAAAAATTGACCATACATTAGTGTTATTATTCTGAACTTCTTTGCTCTCCAAGCCGTTTTGTCGGTGTTCTGTTCGTTTTTCACCGTTTGAGAGTCCTGACAAGTGGTTCCGGTCAGTCAAAACGTTCATAATACCCCTCTCATCCCTATCCTCTCTCTCAAACTCGACCTCATCTCTCTGCTCAAGCGTGCCCCGGTGGAGCTTCGTTCGTTCACCAGCCACAGGTTGGCGGTAGAAACTCGCCGCCTCTCATGGCAGTTGGTCGGGCGAGCTCATTTCGTCGCGCCACGCCTAAGTAAGGGCAGAAGCTTCACGCTTTCGCCGCTGATCGGTCGGGCGTGAGCTCTCCCTTGCCACCACAGCGCCTGTTCAGGCCGAGTGGTTCTTGCCCAAGGCCAGAGCCAGCGGCGGTGTCTGGGGCCGAAGCTCGACCATGGCGCCGAGGCGCAGCCGCGCCATACCCGGCCGGCATTGTCCGGGCCGAGCTCGCCACAAGACGCTCAAGGACCGGTTGTCCGGGGCCGAGATGGCTAGGGCGGACCTCCTCGCGTCACCTCCACGCGCGCTGCGTCAAATCCACGGCGAGGACCACCAGGCAGCTCCACGCCGCCTCTCTCTCTCTCGCCATTGCTGTTGGGACGGGCGCCTCCCACGCCTGCACCTGGGGCCCTCGACGTCATTGTCGAGCTCGTGTCATTGCTGCTGCAGCTCCCCGCCATCTCCTTCTTCTTGGCCGCGGCGGCGTGGGAGGCGCGCCTGCACCTCGCCCGAGAGCGTGGCTGACAAACTGAGCCCACCGTAGGGTAAAATGGTCATTTCACCTGTCTGTTTGACACCGTTAAGTAAAAAAGCGGACGGAATGGATTGGAGAGCAAAGAAGTTCAGAATGATGGCACTCGTGTGCGGTCAATTTTTTTAATGGCTTGTGTGTAATTACAAACTTTTTTAATGACATACATGTAAAAGCCTGATTGTATTTTATTTTTTGTTTTTCTATACGACGGGGGCGGCAACGTTGAAAGAAGCTTAAGCCAATCGGAGGGGGATAATTAACTTTTTACAATTATAACGGATGGTGCCTCCTCAAATAGCAGCTTTAGGTTTGACGCTACGGCTTTTAGCAATAGAGAGAGAGAAACGATACATATTTACCACTTGTGCTCGCGTGGCACGCCAGCTCCATTGTCTAGCTCAGATCCAAGTCAGCAGCACCATACGAAAAGTCACTCATGCCCATCCCCTCGTTGCCATAGATTAAAGGATGGACAGCTCAGGATAGCCACAGACAGAGATACGTATACTTGTATTTTTAAGATATTTATTTTTTGTTTTGCAAAGAAAAAAAGAACTTATATGACATCATCATGATGTCATGGCTCAAGAGCAAAGCAGTGTGCATGGCGCATGGCGCACGCCCTAGGTCGGCGTTCAGCATGCAGCGCCTGCGCAGCTTCACGCGCTCTGCTCCCTGACCACCGCCCGCTAGCAGGTGTCCTCCATCCAGCGCGCC